CACAACACCAAGACACTCTTCCGATTACCTACCTCCTCCCCTTCATCCAAGATGTCCGAGATTACCCACCCCACCATCAAGGGTAAGGAAGTTCCCACACCTTCCCCCCCCCCGCATGTTCTGATTTGAAATGGAAAACTGACTTTTCACTCCTATAGATGGATGGTTCCGCGAGATCTCTGATATGTGGCCTGGCCAGGCCATGACTTTGAAGGTCAAGAACGTCATCCACCACGAGAAGAGCAAGTACCAAGATGTGCTCATCTTCGAGTCCACCGACCACGGAACGGTGCTGGTGTTGGACAATGTTATCCAATGCACCGAGCGTGATGAGTTCTCCTACCAAGAGATGATCACCCACCTTGCCATGAACTCCCACCCAAATCCCAAGAAGGTCCTGGTTATCGGCGGTGGTGACGGTGGTGTTCTCCGCGAGGTCATTAAGCACGATTGTGTTGAGGAGGCTATCCTGTGTGATATCGACGAGGTATGTGGAGGCTACAAAGCAAGGCAATTGTCGTTGAATGTTGCTGAACATACGATGAATAGGCTGTCATCCGTCTGTCCAAGAAGTACCTCCCTGGCATGGCCATCAGCTACCAACACCCCAAGGTCAAGGTCCACGTTGGAGATGGATTCAAGTTCTTGGATGACTACAAGAATGAGTTCGATGTCATCATCACCGACTCTTCTGACCCAGAGGGACCAGCTGAGAGCTTGTTCCAGAAGCCATATTTTGAGCTGCTCTTCGGTGCTCTCAAGGAAGGAGGTGTCATTACCACACAAGGTTGTACGTTTTCCTTCGTCCGCGGAAGTCAAGTGTCCTTGCCGTCGCGTTTTATCTTATTCTCCATTTGGTTCAGCTATACTTAGCATCGCATATTTTTTTTTTTTTCATCTCACTGTCCAAGATATGCGATGTTTTGCTCTGGGCTATATTCAGATCCCCGAGTTTTGATGGCAAAGCACTTGATACTGATTTCAACTGTAGCTGAGAACCAATGGCTCCACCTTCCCATGATCACCAAGCTTAAGAAAGACTGCAAGGAGGTCTTCCCCAACGTTGAGTACGCTTACACCACCATCCCCACCTACCCATCTGGCCAGATCGGCTTCATGGTCTGCTGCAAGGATGCCGACCGTGACCTCAAGACCCCAGTTCGCACCTGGTCCGCCGAGGAGGAGGAAAAGCTCTGCAGATACTACAGCGCCGATATCCACAAGGCCAGCTTCGTTCTCCCAAACTTCGCACGCATCGCTTTGAGATAAAGTGGAGCTTTGGATGTGGTACATAGGTGTAAGGTTGGCGAGGCGAGGCATCGTTTGTTTGATGATTTCTACGATACCACGGTGGGAACAATTTTGGGGGGAATTGGACAGCTGATGCGAAAGGTTTCTGGCTAGTGCCTCTCCATGAGGTACAAAAATGTTACTTACAATGACATGGTGGGCAAATCAAACTGCAAAGCGTTGCCTTTAAATAAAGACTGAACGTAATTTTACGTTGCGACTCGCTCTCTTCAAGGTGTTTGGTCGATCTTCAACGAGAAATCGACATGAGGCACTCCTTGATGTATCGTGCTCGTAGATATGATATCGATATCTAATAGGTGGTTAGAAAATGGTTTGGTGCTTGGCATCAGGACTCGCTTACCATTGTTGATATAAGTGCCAACATTTTCGGCAGTCAATCCTCCACTACATTCGAGCAAGAATTCCTTCTTTCCTGCCCACCTCTGCTTTATACTTTGCGCCGCAACCTTCAGGCCAGGACCGTCGAAATTGTCCAGCATGATGATGTCCGCCCCAGCAGCAATTGCCTCATCAGCCGAGGCCTCACTGTCAACCTCGACCTCCACCTTCAGCGCAAAGCCACCAACTGATTTTGCAGCCTTCACAGCTTCGGTGATGCTTCCCTTTGACCAGATGTGATTATCCTTCAGCATAATCATACTCGACAAATCATGGCGATGTCCGTCCACCCCTCCCACAATCATCCCATACTTCTCCACCAGTCTGAACCCCGGCGTTGTCTTCCTCGTGCCAGCCAGAATTCCCCGATAGCCAGCCTTCCTCACCAAATCGTCGACAGTCCTAGACTTCGTCGCGACCCCCGAACACCTGCTGAGCGTGTTCAGGGCGACCCGCTCCCCAAGCAACAGCTTCCGCACCGGCCCAGTGACAGTCGCAAGAGCAACCTTGCCCGCGGAGCCCGGACGCACCAGCTCGCCCTCGCTCAAGTGCCATCGAACGGTGCACCCCGCCTGCGCGAAGATCTCGTCGAAGAACGGCACCCCGGCGAGCACGCCCGTCGACTTGCCGTAGAGGGTGGCGCTGCGTTCGCTGTCGCCTACGACGAAGCCGCCGTAGTCGAAGGAGGGCGTGTCTTCTGCGAACCAAGCCGTGACCTGCGATTTCCAGTGTACAGGCAGTAGGTCTGCGAGGTTTCCATGCTGGAGCGCCATTCTGGTGAGGAGGGATGCGTGATGGATGGGTGGATGGGTGTGAGGAGCTTGGGATTGGAGGGGTAGGTATGTGGAGCAGCCGAACGCTGCCGAGGAATGCCCGTTGCTTTGCCCAGCCCGAAATCCTACTGTAACATCCAAAGCTTGCCATCATACTTACCTTATCTCAAGCTTTTTTATTTAGCGAGGTAGTTGGGAAAACATGGTTTCATTATCCACGCAACGCCGTTCTCGATCATGAACACCAAAAAATATCTACTGCTTTCTTTTTGACAGGAGTCCAGATTTCTCTTGCCGACGTGCCCAATCGAGAAGCATATGTTGCCGTTGAAAGACTTAGGCCTGATTTCGAGCAAATTCATCATGCCAGCGCCAAAAGGCTACTTTGTTTGACTCTAGGATTCTATCAAACATAACACTGTCTCCGTACTTCCAATCGCATCTTAAGCAACCTCCACTTCTACTATCGGGTCTGCATAAGGAGCGTCATCTATCTCAGTCTGCCTCTGAATCGCAGCACCGGTTCCGTTCCCGTAAAACCCCAAAGCGTCCCCAAGAGGGCCTAAATCTCTGATTTTTGACTTCTCCGGTTCCTCTCCGGGCAGTGATATGAGGCCTTGCTGGAACAAATACCCGATGCCCAAGCCCAATCCAGCTATTACACTGCTTATCAGCCCAAAGTACTGCCACGAAGAGCTTGGTACATTGTCGTGGCGCGCACTGCCGCCTTGTTTCTTCGTCCTTTTACTTCTGCTCAGTTGCCCAAAGATCGGCATTGATTCTGCAAGACTCGACACAAACACTTTGCCAGTATCCAGAGCACCCCTGTTATTTGACGGCCTCCATGGCAGTTGTCCTTTGCCTCTTAATCTCTTCGATAGTTCATCTTCTTTAGAACCCCCGGGAATCACAAGGAATGCATCCTCGAGTGTAGTCTTCTCCCTTCCAAATGTTGCATCACACAGCTCCTCGGTCCACTCGCACAGTTCCGGAAACTTCTCTCGCATCGTCCGTGCAAGCCACGGCTGAGGCAAGTCCGGCACAAGCATCAAAGTTAGATATCCCAATGCCAAAAAGTCTAGACTCGAAAACTGATTATCCGAAATGAAGAACTTCTTCCCAGCGCGCAAGTCTTGCAGAGGCTCAAAAAAAGCGGTAGCTAGGGCGTCAAGTTTGAACCGTGCGCTGGCTTCCGGGGAGGCAGCTAACATGCTGGACACAGTGTGTTTTGGCCTTCGCAGAGTCGCGGGGATTATGGAAGGCTCGGGAGAGGGCGTATTTTCGTCGGTGTCGATGTCCAGGGATGAGAGGCCGAGATGATCGGTGCGAAGTTTTGCTGCGGCGCGTATTGACGATGGTGTGAGGTATGGGAGAGGGAAGGGCTGGATTTTGTTGTACAGAGGGCGTGTTACTTCGGTGTAGTTCTGGGAAGAGACGTAGAGGGAGAGGTCGAGGAGGGATTGGCCATGGGATTCCACGAAAGAGGAGAATCTGGGAATCAATTGTCAGATACTATCATTGCGATTGGATAGCCAAAGGTAAGGATTGTAGTTACGCTATGCAATCGGCGCTCTCTTGCCTTGGTAGTCCGGCATCGGGTGTCCATTCTCCAGCAGAGAATTTCGCAAGATAGTAGAAGATATTTCGGAAACCGCCAATCCAGACGTTTCCATTCCTGAGGGCTGGCAGCGTATCTACACTTGTCAATGCAACATCCCACTCAATCTCGATATGGCAACGTACTGGTAGGACTGAGCGCTGGGTCACTGGTTGCTATCAGTTGCCATTCTGTGCGCGGGACAGCTTGCTGCAGATATGCAATTGCTGCCAGACAATGAGCGTCAATGGACGGCAAGCCGAACGCTGGACCCCAAACGTGTAGCTCGAGCATTTTATTCTTCAAGGCAGGACCGGAGCCAAAGGCAAGTGAAATGAGTACGTCCCTTTTAAATGGCGAGGTCAACTCCCACTATTAATAGCCTTGTAGCCTTGCAACTCGGCTAAAGTAGTCACTTCTTCTCTTTTCGACTTCTTGTTATAAAAACGCCCTCATATAGGACATAGTTTTTTTTTTTTTTAAACTCTGCAGGATTCACACCGAAACGTGAAGCGATACCCATCTTCGAACCTTCAGGTTTTCTAGAATCTGGTCAGTTACGAATCACGATTGCTCAAGTGAAGTGAGGTTCAGATAAGTATATCACGACCCCCTGAAAACACCAATAAGTACCGGTAAGCGAGTGCAATGCAAGCACGTAATGTTAACTGACCTCGGCATTCATTCCTTCGCGAGATCGCAATCAATGCGACAACGACCAACTCCTTACACTCCTTTCCCTTCCCTTTCATCCTCTCCTTCGTCCACTAATCTGTCCTATCTCCATCATAACAACCAACAACTAGAATGGAAACACTCAAAGCAGCCGCGCACAACCACCTTCCCCCGCTCTCCGCGGCTCCCTCCCCCCGCCAACTCCTTTCCCTCTACAGCACCTTCATCCTCAAGAACCAGTCCTCAGTGACGCAGATCGAGTCCGCCCTGCGGTCTCTCACATACATCATCCCGGGACGCTTCCGCGACGCCGAGCTCGCTTCCGAGTCTCTACACTCCTCCATCCAGCTCCTCTCGCTCTACCATGACGCTCTGCTCATGCGCGCCGCCACAAACACGCATGTAAACACAAAGCCACTTTCCGCTGGCGACAGCGGCAGCAGCAGCAGCAGCAGAACTATAACGCAGCCGCAGAGCCCGCACGCCCGCTACACCAAGTTCTGGGTCGGCAGCTCGCGCTTCTACCGGCGAGTCGCCACGGTCCTTGCCGTGGTGCAGTACACGCAGCTGCTCTGCGAAATGGCGGCGAAGCGCAAAGGGGAGCGGGCACGGTGGCGCGTGGTTGTGTTGCTGGAGTTATTCAAGGCCGCGTGCCGACTTTGTTTGCTGCGGATAACGAACTCGCGACCGCTGGTCACACCGCCGTTGCCGGAGAGGGAGGTTATTGTTCCCGAGGCGGAAGAGAAGGAGGTTGACGGTGCTGCGGCGGCGGAGGCAGAGGCGACGTTTGAGGACGAGGGACTCGGGAGGCGCCCGAGTCCGGTGCGGGAAAAGAAGGAGTATAGGATGAAGAGGACGGGGCTGAGTTTACCTGTTCTGCCGAATCCCGGGGACATCTCGAGTTATCTGCTCTCGAAGGTTCTGACAGCCGACGATATCAAGGCGCCGAGCGCGCTACTGAATAAGACTGTTGGTTCAGCGCAGCTGGCCGAGTGGCTGCATATCCTGCAGCCGGTTGTGTACGCGGTTGCGATGTCGAGGAGCAAAAACAAGACGAACTGGCAGCCATGGCTGCTGGGTCTAAGCATCGAGTACGCGGCGAGGCAGCTGCGGAAGGATGGTTTGAGGACGACGGCACTGGAACGGGAGCAGTGGGGTAAGAGGGGATGGGCTATGGGCTGGTGGGCCATGCGAGGCGCGTTCTATGAGAATGTCACCAAGGGCTTCTTGCACGGTGCCAGTGAGAAGCTGCCGAGTCTGGTCAGTGGAGTGTTGGACGACTATCTGTACTTGTGGGATGGGTACTATTTTAGTACTAGTTCAGAGTAATGTGTAATGAAAATTACCAAGTATTTAAATATTGCGAGAGAAATTTCATGCAAGCCTCAGAACAGGCAAGGACCTGTCGCTAATAACAATGTTAATTCGTTCTCGAGGGGCAAATGTAGATATATACATAAGCAGCGTCGAACTCAGCTGGATGTTGATGTCAACAGGGGTGATCATTCTTGAACATCATAAATTGATATGCTTGATAGAGACCTATGGACATGGTGAAGATTTCACCTCGCACTCAAGCGCTCGTAGCCCCTCCTATTCCAGCTCCTTTTTGGGTCAGTCGTGTGTTTTCCTCCTTTCCCCAATCCGTGTTGTAGCGCTCACTCCATTGCCTCACGGTCATGCCCAATCCATAGATCCCTTCTCGTCAATAAAGTCGTAAGCGGCATACCAGCATTCATCACTATGAACGTCGTAAAGTAGTAAAGCAGCACCTGGTATAGTACACCAACAATGCCTACCCGCCGTACCGAGCCCTCCTCGTTTCCAACTCCGTGATGATTTCCAACTCCGATTTTGTACAAAGCCTCCATCATGACAACATTCATTTTCGTTCCATTTGGGGTCTGGCCTTGCTGCTGCTTAACCATACCCTCCTACATGTTTTGGGCCATCTGTTGCTGGGCCTGGTGCTGCATCATCTTCTGCCTCAACAAATCGTTCTGCAACATCTGCTGCGCATTCGGATCATGCGGTTGACCCTGTCCTTGTTGTTGCTTTTGCAAGTGTGCAGCAGCATGTTGTTGTGTCTGAGCCCTCAGTGCTGGGTTCACGGGTTGCATTTGAGGCTCTTTCTTCGGATCCACTCCCGGGAACAGTGCCTGTAGTTGTCTGTACTGTTCTCGCAGCCTCTCGCCTCTGTTTCCTTCGTCTTCGGGCTTCTCTCCCGGCTCATCCTTCTTGGTATCGGCTTTCGGTGATGAGCTTGTCGCTCTAGGTGGTGACTTCAGGCTTAGAGCTGGCGCAGTCATGATTGTTGGATGTGCCGGAATCTGAGAGGAGGGCTTGTGAGATCGGTCCGCAATAGCGGCAAGATATGCCAGGTTGGATTGCAGCCGGCGCATACATCTGTGTAAATTAGCCTTGAGGTTCGCCGACAGACTGCTTGAAACATACTCGGCATATTCTCTTGAAGATGGTCTTGCTTTCTCCGCTTTTTCTTTCTCGGCCCTCTCTTTCTCTTGTTCGGATTTCTCATTTTCTGCTCCATCCGGCGAATTGGTAGTCGGGGGTCCGTCCTTTTTGGTTGCTTCGGCGTGAGCCTGTTGCAAGTGTATCACTTCTAGTAACAGCGAGGAGTTTATTTCCAGCAACAACGAGACCCTATCCTTCTCTCTCGCTTCAGATCCTGGGCTCAGTGGTGTTACATTACCCCCTACTCCATTAGCAACCTGGGCTCCCGATGGGAATTTGGGTGTTAGCGGCGTCACTACCTGTCCGGCTTGAGCCTGCCCGGCTTGCGCTTGCGCTTGCTGGCTGGCATTTTGTTGTTGGATATGCACTGAGTTTGGAGCTTGAGGTGTAGAAAACTGAGATGGTGGACCAGCGTTTGGTGGAGTATTGTGGGGTGGACCAGGAAATGGGGAAGCCCGTGGCCCTGGCTGTGTAGGCGTTGATGAAGGAGGGTGAGGTGGCATGCGCTGAGCTTGGAGCTGAGAGTTCATGTTCATTAGGTTCATTTGAAAAGCCGGTCCACCAGACGACGGTGGCATGAAGTTCGGGGGAAGGTTGGGCGTAGCAGAGGACGGTATGTTACCACCGTAGGGGGAGCCAGAATATGGGGTTTGATAGCCGGGCACTGTTCACAAGAGTTGTCAGTGAGGGTTTTTACTTAGAATTGGCCGAGATGATGATAGGTTTGCGGTTAGTAGACGAGTTGAAGCCGGACATTGTGTCGCGATGGGCGCTTGACTTGTGGTCGGCTACCTGCAGTATACCTGCGGTATGCCTGCGGTATACCTGCCATAGGGGAGGCAACATTCTCTGTGCAACGTACATTGTTGTCCTCCGCCAGCAGTCATTTGCGCCATACCGTTGTTATTCGGCAGCGGCCCAGGGAATGACGATTGGGGCAGTCCTTGTCCCTGCCCAGGCCCATGCCCAGGACCAGGACTGGGGCTATACTGCTGTGGGTTGTACATCGTGTGGTGTTGCTGTTGCTGTTGCTGTTGTTGTTGCTGTTGCTGCTGTTGCTGTTGCTGAGGCTGAGGCTGAGATGGCTGATGAGGCTGAGGAAGTGCTCTGTTGTTAGGGTTGAAGGGCGCATGCGAGGGCGGCGGCGGAGGCGGAGAGCTTCCATAAGTAGGCGCGTACATAGCTGCTTGCTGCCAGACGTCGGCGTGGATGGTGGATGTAGATGTGGACGTAGACGTGGGCGTGGGCGTGGGGGTAGGTGGACAAGCTGAGGATGTCGTTTGTTTACAGTATTTGCTGCTTACTTCGTCTCTACTATACGGAGGAGCATGGTCCAGGGGCTGACAGCACCAAGGCCCGGTATGCTTTTGCGCTTTTGCCTAGTACTAGATTCGAGGATACGACAACAGATTTACAACCATACATAATACTCCAAAAGTCACATCGACAACACTGTAGGCGGTACTTCGCTTGATTATCCATTGCTTAAGGATGGTGATTTTGGTGATATCGGTATGTTCCGTACAGTAACACATCTCTATCTCGGCAGACACCAACCGACCACCATTAAAAAGCCCACCCATAAATCGTCACTCGCTCAAACGCCTCCTAGTCACCCCAATACACCTCCCAATATGATACATACACACCTGAGATCTAGAAACTAGATGCTAAAAATTTGAAAGTTGAAAATTAGAAATACCCAAATGCTGCAGCACCCGCAATAAACGGTATCCAACCCAGCACTCCCGCCCCCTCCCCCTTCGATCCCACTGGCGCCATCCCCGTATTATTATACAAAAGCGCCGGCGTCCCGCTGGTAGAAACCTTTTCATCGATGCCGCAAACAACCTCACACCCGGGGGTTCCCTTCGTCTTCTCTAACACGGGCCATGTCCCCTCTTCCTCCCTCCCTCTCTTCCCCTTCCGATTCTCCAGCCCGTCGTACGGCCCGCTTGTATTATAGGCTATCTCTATCCACTGGATCTGAAGGAAGGCCTCGTCAAAGACGCTCATGTTGCCCGTCCACACGCCACCGTCGCTCCACATGTTGACAATCAGGCCCGTCGGGTCCCTCGGCGTCTGGAAGCTGATGTTCGCCACGCTCGCTCCGTTCACGTACCAGCTTGTCTGCGTCGGCATCCAGTCCATCCGGTACACGTTCCACAGGGTCCAGTCCCGACCGTCGGGGTTCGTGCGGTTGACTGTCGCCTGTGGGACTTCGTTGCCGGCCAGGTCCACCGACGGCTGGTTCGTGTACTGGACGCGGTTACGCGGGTTGCGTGTCAGGATTTCAATGTCAGCTTCTTGTACGTTGGCGGCAGTTGCGCCGGCGAGGTAGGTGAAGAGACCCGCGCAGGCACCGGAAGATCCGATCACGCGTGCCAGAAATCGCGCCGAGAGGTGGTGGAAGTTTTGCTCGGCAGAGTCGATTTCGGACACCGATTGGAAGGTTTCGTGGCGGACGGTGCGGAGAGTCAGGTATGAAGTGTAGTCTGGGGAGTCGTCTTGAATTTGCTCTATGAGTTATCAACATGTTTGTATTTTGCAAAGGCGCCAGGGAAGTTGTACCGATGTATATATTGTTGGGCGTGTTCACCATCAAGACAGAAGCCCCAGTATTCGCCATAACATCGCTGTTATTCCAGGTCTGAATAGCCCACTCGTCCGTCCACGCGTCCTGGCGGAAGAAAGCTGAGGTTGCAAGTGCATTCGTTGCATTTGTCATGTCTGTCGTCAGGGCAGGTGGATTCGACGCTCCAGCAATATTTCTATAATCATGGAACTGATGGTTCAAGAAGTACCCCTCCGAGGACTCATTCGTTCGAAAGCACGAACACGCATCTCCGTCGTTCGTCTTCGCAAAAATGAGGTTCGGCAACGAGAAGAGCAGGACACTGGCTAACATCAATACTGGTATAGCTGTCGCAAATTGCGGTTTCGAGCGCGCCATGGTGATATGCGTTAGGTAAATAATATTAGATAACGAGCGGGTTTGCAAATATATGAGGCAGTTGTAACTTCTTCAAGCGAGCGAAGAGAAGCCAATATGAATATCGAACGCGGACAAAAAAGGCAACGAGACGGAACGACAGCAAGTGAATGATTCGAGCCTTAAGGACTACGAACTTTGATTGAATTCCCTTGGGTCTAGGCACAGAGAAGAAAGGCATCAACAAAGAATGGATGTCCCAATTAATCACAAGCAACAAGCAAACCACACTAGGGATTCTCCCTTCGTCCTGAGCGTTTGTTCGGTCTTCTCGATGAAAGTAGGTAGTGGAATCGTGCATCGCATGCAAACGAAGGTATCAGAGGTACAGGCAGGGATCTCTCGTCATGCCCTAATCTTCTTCCGCGAGAAGCTGAAGTTCAACCGATCATGGTTCGACAGTACCAGGAAAAAAAGCCTGTAGATCTGAGGAATACTGGATACATATGTATCTGCGTCACCAGGACCTGCTCGAAGGGCTGGATTGCGTCTTTTCAACGTCAAGACAATTATCGCTGCCGGCTTGTGAACGTAATAGAACACAGCGAGCGCACTCCCGAGAACTGGCCATCGCTTTCTATGGTGCAATATCTGTACGGATCAAGGTGCCAGCAAAAGATGGTAGGAAGTGTCTGATCTAGTTCAGGAGAGCGAAGGAGCAGCTGCTAGAGTACTCATGGTGAACACGTGATATCGCCTAAGGCTTGGCAGCTTGGCAGGCACGTGGGAGTACGTGTTCAAGCTGGTCGATGCTATTAGGCTGGTCTGTTTGGTTGGTCTATTTGGCTAATGCATTCATTTAACTAATCTACTTACCTAATCATACCTACCTAGTGTGGTGGAGTTGGGGCTCTGTATTTGTTTTGTCCATGTATATAGTACTGATGTTAGGCACCTTTGTCACGTGGGTGCGCTGCATGCTCTGGCCTGCTAAGCACGTGGTTAGGTCACGTGCAGGCTCTTATATAGACGAGTAGTTGGTTCCTCCCTGAACCAGCACTAAT